CATCTTTGATAGACGTGACTCTCGCGGTGCCATTTTATTATCTCCTCTTTTTTCGAGGGCTTTGCTTAAAGTTTCTTCATATAAAATTTAGGATATTTTTTGTTAGAGTCGGGTGGGTTAGATGTTTGGAATTTTTCATGCTCATCAATTGCCATATAGGATACCTTTCGGTGGCGGTTGTCTCTCGATCAACTATTTTCTAGTTCATCATTCCTTGCACTAACGAATCTTTTTTAATGATCTTTAAAAATTTAGGTGAAAATTTAGGTGAGGCATCACTCTTCAAATTCGACAAGACCTTTTATCTTTGATACACATTGCTCATAACCCAATTTGTAGGATATCATGGTAGGTGCATAGCTCATGTAACTTGTTACTCCGATGAGAGGAACCTATAGATATCTCCCATAATAAGCCAAATAAGAAGACCGGTTCATCCATACTACTATCCATAAAATTATGGTGGTTGGTATTTCAAGAAACATAATTATCCATTTATGCTCCGAATGGTTTCTCCATGTTGCGACAATAAATTCTCTCAAAGGTTCTTGATTCATCTATCATGCTGACTTGAAAAGGGGTTTATGGGTTTCTATGTGATCGATAATCCAAACAAACGACAATTATACATAACCTCTCATGGCCTCCTTGCCCGTTTTGTGATAATGATTTAGAAATAGAATGATTTTTACCGGTATCGCCATGGAAAGATTCACGTTGTTCTTTTTAACCTCAAAGAACATATTTTCTATGTCCAAGCTAATTACCCCCAATAATCGAAGGGAATAGTACCAACCCAAAGATGCTTAGAGCTAGAATTTGACACGTTTAAAACTATCTCTTGGATCTTTCAAACTTCGTTCAAATGTCTTGTTCCAAGTTTCCCAATGCTAGCCCTTGATTGCACCTCGTACTTGATCGCAAGCCATGTTTTCATTCAACCAAGTTTGAACTCCGTTGACAACCTCGTTGTGACGATAATAAAGGTATACTAAATATAGAGAATTTGGCATCTAGAGTAACTAGTGATACTCTTCAAGAAGCGAGGTCCTATCGATATTTTTAAAAGTGAAACACCAATAAGAGTGGTCCCATAACTAGATTAGAACCTTGATTGCCAATTTCTAAACAAGAAGTTCAAGCAAAGCGACCAAATTCCCATATTTAATCCCGAATTTTTATCAATATATGATGTCAATCGGTTCCAGCTCTCTAAAATCTTTACGGAGTCATTGATGACTATCCGAATACGTATCATATCTTAAAGGTTACTCTAAGACCCCTCTATTAGACAACCACCTTCTTTCAACCGATAGACCTCGACTCATTCGATATTTGAAAGCTCGTCTTAAAATGCATGTCGGTCTTTTTATCACTCATCCCGAAACGTCATGATCAAATTGTTTTAGTTAAAGTTTTATTTAAATTTGACTTACCCGTGACATTTACTAGGTAGAGTCTTATGGTCCGATTCTAAGTCATTAGGTGAACAAGATAGGATTTATCTAAATCTCAAACAAGGTCTCTTCAAGCCTAGTGAATCATAATAGAATCATTAGAGGTACGTTAAAAGTGATTATTGGTGAGCTTGAAAATCATCGGTTACCTATCACTCAATAAAGACTAGCAAGAAGAGTTGAGATTTCGTGAGTGTTTATCCGAGATAAAAATCATCGAGGCAACACTACTACCTCCCTAATTCTTGAGAAAAGTGTGTGATAAAAAAATAAAAATAATAATAATAGCAATGGATGTAGTGTGCGCATGAGCATTATTCCATATTCAATCCTAAAAATAAAAATAAAGACATGAATTAAAGTACAAAAATAAAATAAAATGAAAAGGCAAAAAAAAATACAAGGAAAACATTGGCAAAAAGTTATGAATTTTTTTTTTTAAAAAAAAGGTGAATTCTATCACTTAGCATTCGGACATAAAAAATTCAGTATATATTAGAAATAAAATTCAAAAAATTTATGCAAAGCCTAATATAAAGTATGTCTCTCTAGTGAAGTCATCATTCTATCATAGGGTGACGTTAGAGCAAGGGATGATTTCGAGAAACAAAAAATGGCCAAAAATAATGAAGTCACAACCAAGTATTATAGTTAATAGGAAACCATATAGCTAGTCTATTCGAGTTCTAGGTAAGGGATTTATAACATGTGGGGAAGATTAAAAATCATCCTACCCCATCATACCTAAGGCTAGTCGCATTGCATATAAATGCGAGTTAATTTCTAATTTTTATAATGAAAACCTATACCTATTTCTAAATTTTTACCAACTAGATGAGTGATTCGAACTTCATTGATCAAATGTTTTATCCTCACTCTAAGACATGATAAATCTAAATCTATGACAATTACATTAAACTCATATAATAGATATGACAAAAGTGTATAATAAAATAAAAAAAATGGCAAAGATAGTTCGAAAATATAGTTCGGACTAATGTGACTTCAAATTCCAAATTTTTTCAAGCAAATCGACAAAATCATTGAAATTTCCAAAAAAAAAAAAAGATTCGAAAATAGGATTCGGATCGACACAACTTCAAATTTTAAATTTTTAGGCAATGGAAAAGCATCAAAATTGACAAAAAAATAATCCGAAAATAGGGCTCAAATTGACACGACGTTAAATGTCATGATTTTCAAATGCATGGCAAATAAATTTGGCAAGTGAAATTAGCACGTTAGGCAATGTTGGCAAGAACGATCTGGACCAAGGTGTAGACCGACATGACTTTAAAGTTATGATTTTTCATGGAGATGTTTAAGGCAAAATCGAGAAAAATGATCCAAATAGAGGTTCGGACTCACATTACTCAAATGTCATATTTTCAAGTAAATTGGTAAAAATATCAAATTAATCATCACCATCAATAAAAAAGATCCGTAAATGAGGTTCGGACCGATGCAAATCAAGCATCATATTTTTCATACAAATTGACGACAACATCGATTTAATATTACCATTGGCAAAAAAGGTCCCAAAATAGGATTCGGACCAACGTGATTATAAATACCATGACTTTTATAAAAAAAATAATAATAATAACAATCAAGTAATCGACACATCCGGTATAATTATCAAGCGACAAACAAATCTTGAGTCAACAATGCAAAAAAAAAAAAAAAAAAAAAACAACAACAACTTAATCATGCATACTCAACATAATGACAAATAAGTAACAAAAATAATCATAGAATACTCAATTCTCTTATTTTGCCTCAACGTTATTTAGGGCCTCCAACCTTTTTGCATTCTCAATACACTATAGTGTATCTCAAACACTTTAATCAACTAATCACTCAAATCACCACACGGTTAATTTAATTAATTAACGAGTCATACAAATACAAATTAAATTTAAGGATTAAGAATAATTTACTTGCTAAAAAATGCTAAAAGGTCGAAGATATTTTTTCAGTCAAAATGGGTCATTTTCGCCCTTTTCAATCTCGATGGAGATTGATTATTTAGTCAATCGGGGAGTATCAACCTGCACAAGTGGATTGTGAGCTTGAGATTTATGTTTGTGGCATTGTTTTTTTGTGTAAAAAAAAATTAAAAACTAAATATCTTGGATCGAATCAGCACTTTGGGAAATAGGATTTTCATTGCAGTCCTTCTCTAACAACGTAGTCTTGCGTCATAAGCATTGTAAGTAATGGAGATGGAATGGATCCGATGTTGCGCTAAATCTGGCCATCGTTCCCATGATAATATGTCGAAACTTTGTGATAAAATTATGATCTTAATTGAACTTCTCAATGGTTGCCACGTGTGCGGAGCCCATGGACTGGTAGCAAGCATTGGGTTCTCTCTGGCTGGGGGTATGACAAAAAGAGTTCAGCGCATTCCACGAGTGGATGAAAAGGTAACAAAATGCATGGAATTGGCGGTGGAAAATGTAGAACTAGTGGCTGTTAGCCCCATAACTATTTATAGAAGGCAGAGGAATGCAGCACAGAAAACAGCCATTTGCATGGACAGAGGGGGAGAGAGAGAGAGCGAGGTGAATATTTAACACAACCAACTACTGCGTTCAGACCAAGTGGGGACTGGTTTTAGCTTTTAAGTCACCCAATCCTTCCACATTGGCCATTGAAGATCACAAACCTGATCGTCCAAGCTTGGCTTCTCTGACAAATCTGACTTTCCTCTTCATTCATCTCTTTCTCCAAAACTAATTAAGCTATCCATCTTGGTCACCTCAATTTTTGACAAAGAAAGCATCTCTCTTTATCTCTCTTTATTGAATGCTCCTTATTGGAGAGTGTAGCTCTTGCTTGATTATGAGAACTGTGCATTGAAACCCGTAGGGGACCTGATTAATCCAAAGATAAGCCAGAGGATTATGTACTTACTGCCCTTCACTTATGACAAGAAACTTAAAAGTGGACGAACGAAACAAACAGTTAAAGGCCTGCAAAGATGAAATCCATTTGCCCATGAAACTGATTACTGTCAGAAAGAGAGAGAGGTTCCACTTCCCAATCCAAGCATTACTTTCCACCAATAACTCTCTTCACCTTAGCAAAGCAGAAACTTCCCCACCTCTCTCTCTCTCTCTCTCTCTCTCTCTCTCTTATCTCTTCTGTTCCCAAGCCCATACAGCACCTTGTGTCAAGCACCTTTATTTAATAATGTTACGCAGATTCTCTTCACATTTTCCCACTCTTGAGAACTTAGCTTCTGAACTCTCTTTTCTACTACTCTTCTTTTATCAGATCAAACTGTATATCAAACACCAAGTCAGCACATTCAGTTTCTTTTACTTCTCGGTCGTTCTCTTCAAGGATTTTATCTCCTAATCCCTTTCAAGGTATTAACCTCTGGTCTCTGAACGTTTTTTAGTTTTTTAATCAACAAATTTAACAAAAAGAAAGGTTTCTCTTTCGTTTTAGTTTCACTAGTCCATTTTGTGACTTTATTTTCATGATGAAAGCGAACCTCTAATATATAATTTTATTTTTTTTCTAGTAACAGACATGGAACCAGAAGAAAAGGTTTCTCCAATCAATGCAGAAGTCGAGGACACAACAGCACGAGTATTTCCTTGTTTATTCTGTTCAAGAAAGTTCTACAGTTCTCAAGCCTTAGGAGGCCACCAAAATGCTCACAAGAAGGAGAGACATGCAGCAAGGAAGGCAAAAAGAGCATCCGAATATGCACCACCACCAGCTCCAACATTCCCAATGATGTTTACTCCAAGTCACCATTTAGGGCAGTTACACCCATCAATGTACATAACTGCTCACGCAGCCAACCTCCACTCTCCTCCTACTCACCGGTTTTCTGATCGTTTGGGTTCCAATGGTGCGGCCAGGTTTGATAATGTGCTGTTTTATGGAAGCAATAGGTATCATCAACATGATCAAGAAGACGAGCAAAGTTTCTTGAATTGGCAAAGGAGCATAAGATTCAATGGAGGTGGGTCCAAACAACATCTTTCAATGGTGAATGGCAATCCCAATATGGGGATGAGGAATGATAAAGATAAGAAACTTGATTTGTCTCTCCATTTATGAAGAAAAATATGGGGGCGTGGGCGGCGATTGGGGAGGGGGAGTGTTGTAAGTTAGAAATTACATGTCTTCAAAATAAACGATCTGCAGTGGCCTAATGGGCTGAATTAACTTTTGTGACAGCAACAACTTGAGAATTAATTAATTTTTAATCTTGATCAACTTTAGGTACGTAGAAGTGGATGGAGATTCAACTCTTAGTTATGAAATAAAGGTCATTGTACGGTAGTTAATTTTCAAGAATCATTATCATTTGTTTCTTCCTATGGTGGCAATTAAGGAAGGATTTTGACCTTGAGACATTTTTCTTCTCTTAACATAAATAACTCTAGAATAAATAACACTAGACCCTTAACCCTTCATTTGTTTGCCATCTTTGTTGATAAAGAAATTTTTTTTTTTCAGATTGTGTTATTCTAACCACCCCCCCCCCCCCCCCCTTCTTTTTTTTCTATTAATGTATATAATTTTTTTAAATACGGAAAATGTCCTTAAACTTCAAATACTAATGACAAATAACTTGTAAAAAAAACTTAAGTTTAAGCATTTATTAGGGAAAGAGAGAGAGAGAGAGAATATTCAGCATTCTATTTTGATTTATAGTCTAGGCATAGATGCATGCGTCCTTTATCATTTTATTTTTTAATTGAAAGAGGATAAATTTATGATGCCTAAAATTTAGAAGAAATAAAGATTTCTTTGACTGATTTTTTTTTATAGAAATAAACTTTTTAAATTTTTTTTCTGCCTATTTTTTGCTTATATGATATGTTCATAATATTTAGTAAAAGGAGCTATTTTGATATTTAATACTTATTATAATTTATTTATAATTAAAAAAGCATATGAAAAGGGTTTCATTTCAATATATATGGAGTGGGAATAATCACTTCTTTTTTTTTTTTTACAAAAAAAAAAAAAAAAAAAAAAAAAAAACCTAAACCGTAGGGAAAAATCATTTTCAAATGAAATGAAAATGAAGTTAGGCCGGCATGGTAAGGGTCGTTGAATTCAATGGGCTCAGCTTCAAAGGCTATCTACTTTCATCGGCTTAGCTTAAAAGGCCGTACATTTTAGGCCCATATCGAGTATCCAACAGTTCTCTATGTTTATTGTCTTAATTAAGGTGGCTTATTCGGATATCTTAGATCCGTAATCTATATCCATGATTATGTATAAAAATATGATTTATTTTTATTTTTATTTTTATTTTTATTTTTATGAAGAACAATAAAATTCTTTGAGAAATTTTGATAGATCGTTATTGTTGAAATCACAACTCGCATGCAAGCTAGATCACGGCTTGCAAAATGCAAGTCGTGACTCGACCTTGCACCGCTTAAATCGAGGCGGTGCAAGCAGGGGAGAGGTCTATAAATAGGCCTCTCCACCTTAGTTTGATATCCCACATCCATCTCAAAGAAGAGGAGAGAAAAATATAGAGAGTGTTAAATTTTTCTATTTCAATAAAGAAATTTAATTGTTTTCTCCTTATAATATAGAGAGAGGGTGTAACTCCTATTATTTTTCATAGTGAAATTCTTCTATCTTGTCCGTGGTTTTTTCCCTTAATTTGTTTAAAGGTTTCCACGTAAAAAAATTTGTGTGTTCAACTTCATCTTTATTTCTCAATTTTATTAGTCGCGACCTCGCTCTATTCGGTCAATAACACAACAAGTGGTATCGAGCCGAGTTGTAGATCTTGCAGAGTTTGTGATAGAAGCAATGACGGCAAAGTTTGAAATCAAAAAATTCAATGGGAGCAATTTCTCATTGTGGAAGTTGAAGATAAAGGCTATCTTGAGAAAAGATAATTACCTAGCGGCTATTAGTGAAAGGCCGAGAGAATACACGGATGACAATAAGTGGAATGAGATGAATGGAAATGCTATTGCAAATCTTCATCTAGCATTAGCAGATGGAGTGTTGTCAAGCATAGAGGAGAAGAAGACAACGAAAGGAGATCCGGGATCATCTCACTAAGCCGTATGAGGCCAAGTCACTCCACAACAAAATTTTCTTAAGAGGAAACTCTATACTCTTCGTATGGCGAAATCTACTTCGGTGACGGAGCATGTCAATACTTTGAATACTTTATTTTCTCAACTCACATCGTTGGGTTATAAAATAGATCAAAGTGAACGTGCTCGAACTTCTACTTCAAAGTCTACCGGATTCGTATGATCAACTCATCATCAACTTAACAAATAATATCCTTACGGATTATCTAGTCTTCGATGATGTTGCAGTACTGCTGTTCCGGAAGAAGAAAATCGATGCAAGAACAAGGAAGACAGAGCGGATGACTTCTCAACAAGCAAAAGCCTTAACGGTGATGAGAGGGAGATCAACGGATCGTGGCTCGAGTGGGAGCTATAATCATGGTAGGTTAAAATTAAAAAGTAAGAAGAGTTTTAAATGCTACAACTCGTGGCAAGAAAGGTCACCTAAAGAAGGATTGTCGAGTTTGAAAATTTTCAATCCTCAAGGAAATGTGGCAAGCACTTCGGATGATGGAAATGCTCCGTGTTGTGAAGCGATAACGTCACATAGTGATAGAAAAAGATTTGCCGATGTGTGGCTATTCGACTCGGGAGCTATGTTTCACATGACCTCTAGGAAGGAATGGTTCTATCATTATGAACCTATCTCGGGAGGATCCGTGTACGGTTGCAATGATCATGCTCTAAAGATCATTGGCATTGGAACCATCAAGTCGAAGATGTATGATGGTACAATTCGTACTATTCAATAAGTGCGGCATGTGGAGGGCTCGAAGAAGAACTTGTTGTCTATAGGATAACTACATGATCTTGGATACAAGATCGATACCGAGAAGGGGATCCCGAAGATAATCAAAGGAGCGCTTGTACTTATGAAGGGAGAAAAGATAGCGGCAAACTTATACATGCTCGAAGGGAAAGACTTTACAAAAAGCGAAGCATCGGTTGCTTTAAAAAGTTCGAGTGAAAGATCCGTAATAATGTGGCATCGAAACTTGGGCATATGTCCGAACAAGAAATGAAAATCCTTGCCGAGCAAAAGCTACTTCCGGGACTCACAAAAGTATCTTTACCCTCTTGTGAGCATTGTGTTATCAGCGAGCGACATCGATTGAAGTTTAGCACATCAAATTCTAGAAGCAAGACTATTCTATAATTGGTTCACTCGATGTGTGGCAAGCACCGGTTCCATCCCTAGGAGGAGCGAAGTACTTTGTGTCCTTCATTGATGATTATTCTAGAAGATGCTGGGTGTATCCTATCAAGAGGAAAGGAGATGTGTTTTCGGTCTTCAAAGTTTACAAAACGCGGGTTGAACTTGAGTCCGGAAAGAAGATCAAGTGTTTGAGGACTGGATAATGGAAGAGAATACATTGGTGATGAATTTGATACATTCCGCAAACAAGAAGGTATCAAAAGACAGTTCACGATTGCATACATTCCTCAACAAAATGGAGTGACAGAGCGGATGAATAGAACCTTGTTAGAAAGAACAAGAGCTATACCGAGGACTGCAGGCTTAGGAAAGGCGTTCGGGCGAAGCGATCAATACCGCTCGTTATATTGTGAATCGATCCCCATCAACCGTAATTGAGTTGAAGACACCGATGGAGATGTGGACTGGTAAGCCAGTTGATTATTCAAATTTTCATATATTTGGAAGTCTTGTGTACGTGATGTACAATGCCCAAGAAATCACAAAACTAGATCCAAAATCCGGAAATGCTTATTCTTGAGGTATGCTGATGGAGTCGAGGGTATCGCTTGTGGGATCCTACCGCCCATAAGGTTATTGTCGACAGGGAGGTTATCTTTGTAGAAACAGATCTACAAAGGAAAGAACAAGGTAATAGCACTTCGAAACTACAAAGGTACAGGTGGAAAAAGATCCTGAACAAAAGGATCCTTCCGAAGCGACACCGGAGCATGAGGGAGAAGAAATTGAAGCTCTTCACAAGAACAAGACTTGGGAACTTGTGACATTACCACAAGGAAGAAATCCCATTAGTAATAAATGGGTTTACAAGATCAAACGAAATGCTAATGATCGAGTGGAGCGATATCGTACAAGGTTGGTGGCAAAAGGTTATGCTCGTAAAGAAGGGATTGACTTTAATGAGATATTTTCTCCTGTGGTTCAACCGACAACGATCCGAGTAGTCCTAGCAATGTGTGCTATGTTTGAGTTACATCTAGAGCAATTAGATGTGAAAACGGCTTTTCTTCATGGAGATCTTGAAGAAGAGATTTATATGCTCCAACCATAAGGTTTTGAAGAAATAGGAAAAGAGAACTTAGTTTGCAAGTTGACCAAATCTCTGTACGATCTAAAACAGCGCCGAGGTGTTAGTATAAGAGATTTGATTCATTCATCATGAGCCTTGGATACAACGGACTTAATGCGGACCCTTGTGCATATTTCAAGAGGTTTAGTGAAAGTAATTTTATTATCTTGTTGTTGTATGACGACGACATGTTGATAGCAAGCCTCAACAAAGATCATGTCAAAGAATTGAAGGCACGGTTGGCTAGGGAATTTGAAATAAAAGACTTAGGACCAGCAAATAAGATTCTAGGGATGCAAATTCACCGAGACGAAATAATAGAAAGATTTGGCTTTCTCAAAATACTTATTTGAAGAAGGTCTTGCGACGTTTTAACATGCAAAATTGTAAGCCAATTTCTACCCCACTTCCTATTAATTTCAAGTTATCCTCCAAGTATGAGTCCTAGTAGTGAAGAAGAGAGGATGGAGATGTCTCGAGTATCGTATGCATCAACGAGTGGGAAGTTTAATGTTCGCTATGATTTGTACAAGGCCGGACATTGCGCATGCGATGGGAGTGGTTAGTCGGTACATGGCGAATCCTAGTAGAGAGCATTGGAATACGATAAAGAGGATCCCGAGATATATTCAAGGAACCTCGGATGTTGCATTATGTTATGGAGGATCAAAATTTACTATCGGCGGTTATGTTGATTCCGATTATGCGAGTGATATGGATAAAAGCAAATCAACTACGAGTTATGTGTTTACACTTACCGGTGGAGCCGTAAGTTAGGTTTCTAAGCCGTAGTCGATTGTGGCTACGTCAACAATAGAAGCGAGAATATGTAGCGACTACACAAGCCGGTAAAGAGGCGATCCGGTTGAAAATGGTATTGGAGGAACTCGGGCACAAATAATAAAAGATTTCTCTGTTTTGCGACAATCGAGTGCCTTGCATCTTGCCAGGAATCCAATCTTTCATTCAAAGACAAAGCATATACGAGTACGGTATCACTTCATTCGTGAGAAAGTGGAAAAAGGAACTGTGGATATGCGGAAAATTCATACCAAAGACAACTCGGCGGATTTTATGACAAAGACAATCAACGCCGATAAGTTTATTTGGTGTCGATCCTCCTGCGACTCGATGAAGACATAAGCAATATGAGAAGACAAGATAGAAAGAATAGTGTGAAGATCCGATTGACTCTCGGTCAAATCTTCGATGTGGGAGATTGTTGAAATCATAGCTTGCATGCAACTTGCATACAAGGCTTTCCGTGGACAATTTGTCCACGGAATCCCAGCTTGCATGCAAGCTAGATCACGACTTGCATGCAAGCTAGATCACGACTTGCAAAATGCAAGTCGTGACTCAGCTTTGCACCGCCTAAATTGAGGCGATGCAAGCGAGGAGAGGTCTATAAATAAGCCTCTCCACCTTAGTTTGATATCCCACATCCATCTCAAAGAAGAGGAGAGAAAAATATAGAGAGTGTTAAATTTTTCTATTTCAATAAAGAAATTTAATTGTTTTCTCCTTATAATATAGAGAGAGGGTGTAACTCCTATTATTTTTCATTGTGAAATTCTTCTATCTTGTCCGTGGTTTTTTCCCTTAATTTGTTTAAGGGTTTCCACGTAAAAAAATTTGTGTGTTCAACTTCATCTTTATTTCTTAATTTTATTAGCTGTGACCTCGCTCTATTTGGTCAATAACACAACAGCTTATCTTCTTGACATAATACTTACGTTATAGTTTACGACAACATTAATATGCAATCTTATCCTATCTCTTAGATAATATACTCAAATATCAATTCCTAATAAATAGTTTAATGTATTTATTTATAACATACCTCCTTAAAACCATAAATAACACAAAACATGCTTCATAAAAAAATCCGAAACCAATATAGTACCTTATTGAAATTTATTTTAATTATCAAAACTATTTTAAAAACAACAACAAAAATTAAAATTGAAATCCGAAAATAATATAAATAAATTGTAAAATTCATATATGTACACACACGGAAGATTCTTAGTTATTGTCTTGAAACCTTTAACTTCTATGAATGAAAGGACTTGAGGAATTTTTATTCTTAGTTTAGATACAAGCTCTAACATCAAAAGAAAATCATTTAAGCAAGAAAAATCATAAAAGAATTTATCAATGCATGTTAAATTAATTTCTATTAAATTTCATTATAATTTAAATAAAAATATTTTAAAATAAAAAAAATTAACGAATATTATTATGTTAATGCATAATATTGTCATACTAAAAACTAGTAGAACCCCGAATAAAACTTGCATCATATACCTAATTTATTTATAGGATACAAATAGATTTTATTCAAAATATTTCTTTGAATAGGAGAGTTTAAAAATATTATAAATCAATAGTAATTATAAGAGAAGAACACACTACAATTTTATAATATTAAAATATCAATATTAGTATCTGTTATTTTATAATTTATCACAATTTATTTTATCTAAAGTTTTGTCAAAGGTTTTTAATTGCAAATATTCACCGAATATTAGTAATCAAAATAAAAAAAATTTTAATACGATATTACTTTGTTATTATATTATATTATATTTATTTTAATTTTACAATCAAAATAAATTTATTAAATTAAAATTTTCAAATATTTTTTTAATAAAAAAATTAGTCACATTTATTGTGAAAAAATAATAATAATAAAGCGCTCTCTCTCTCTCTTTCTCTCCCTTTCTTCCCAAAATTACTCACATTTATTGTTAAAAAAAAAAATGAAAATCTCTCTCTCTCTCTCTAAAGAGGAATATAAAAATTTACTATAATGATTTGCATAAATCATGTTCCAATTGCAAATATTTTATTAAATGCCCGAGAAGGGCATAGAACATTTATTTGCATATTAAGGAGCTAAAATTCATAATATCAAACATTTAGATCGACCAATTTTAGATAGGTTTGAGAATAATCACTTTAGTTTTAATTATTTCCATATTACTTTTAAAAGATTGATTCAGATAATAAGAAAAACATCCATTCAGCTTAACATTTCTAACTCAATCCTACCTCTTGCTTATTCCAAAAATGACATTTTTATCATCGATTAACTTCATTTATTTTTATTGGTTTAGGGCCAAAACACGTGCTCATAAGTTTTAGGGACCACCATATATTTGTCACGTGGGAGTTATATTTATCCTTTTCTCAATTTGCACACGGGAAGGAGACGTTATTGATAAGGCCCATTAGCATCCTAAATCTAAGAGGAGGGGTTTAACGGGTCAGTGGGCCTTGAAATGCAACTTTAAAAGGGTAGCTTTCAATGGAAGTCATGTAGATTGGAAGGGTAAAGCCCCACAACACAGATATCTTGGTCATCATATCTACAGGAATTTACTTCCTCTGAATTCCAAACTCACCAGAATAATATAAAAATATGTTTTTATGATTGTTCGAAAAAATTTAATCTAATTCAAAAATATTATTACCTCGAATTTATATTTATAAAATTGTACTGAACATACAAGACTTTGCACAAACATATACAGGTGATATTTTTTTGCTAATGGTGTAAGGTTGAGTTGGATTTCATAGAGAAATTAAGAAGTGTTTTGGTTTCTCGATCACCTGTTTATCTTCAAGAGTTAGAGCTCAATCATGCATGACAAGGAAAAAACGACTAATAGAATAAAGAACACAAAGAATGTGGAGCCACATTGACTGCACTGATGATCTGGTGAGGAATGTATCATTTAAATTCAATTTAATGCTAAAGCCCCCTAATTGTCGAACCCATTATTATTATTATTTTATTTAAGTATCTCCATCTCACATTAAAGATAAAAAAATTAATTATGTTCAGGAAAAAACAAGAAGATTTAATCTCTTCTAACTAGTAACTAGTGCAATTTTGAAATTTAAATATTGTATATTAATAAAAAAAAATCAGTTAGAAACATATTCACTTACTACTAAACCAATAATGTGTTAGTTTGTGAAATCTATTATTTAGTGAAACACTACTTTTAATTTGTTTTTTTCTTTTTCTCGTTTTCTAAAGTGATTGTATATATAGCACTAATTTTACAGCTTGATGTCAAATTTATTTATAATTAATGAAAAATATTCTTTATAATATTCCTATAAGGTAAGCTTATCTCCTGCCAAATATGATAAGTTTTCCTTCAGCTTTCGGCATGTAGTTAGCTTTCGATAATGAGAATATTCGATTGCTAACCTTGTTACTTAAAAGGTTTAAGGACATCAGATTAGATCTATTAACCATCCTTATGCAACACTGGATTCCAGACATATGTTCGCATGCATATAAAACTTGTCCATGTGAAAATAATAGGGAATCTTAGCGTTATCACATGAACTTCTCTTAGATAGATATAATCCTATCCAAAAGAAAAGAAAAAAACCAAAAACAAAAATAGAGAATCAGAAAATAAAAAATGGGAAATGATACCCTCACACAAACTCCTCGTAAATGTTCTTTACGCACAGCATACAAATATGTTTTGGTCCTAAAACTTTGTAATTATGCAAGCAAGTCCTTAAATGGACTAGAAACTTTATTAACTTCCGATTATGTTTTTCCCTTGCAACCTTTAAAGAATTGCATATGTAATAAGTATAGTTTGATCCTTTAATTTCAAAACTATACAAACAAATAATTATTTATTTAAAATGAAAATAGGACATTATTATTATAAAATAGGACAATAAGAACATAATCTAATGAGTTTTTTTCATTAACTTCGATATTAAATAAACACAACGATGAATGAAACTTATGATAAATGAATAGTAAATAAAAATGATGAAAATACATTAGGAGTTAGAATAAGATTTTTAAGGAAATAGATTAATGACAAATGCCTTTAAATGAAAAGGAACAAAAAAAAATTGTGTCCATCGAATTTGATATATATATATATATGAGAGAGAGAGAGTATTAGACAATTATAAGTTAAACTAAGATTTGTTTAATTGTACTGGAAAAAAATTGAGGGAGTTTTAAATTTGATATTAGAGAATAGGATTAAAATTGTAAAGAACTATCTTAAATAAAGATTAAAAAAACCTAAAAAAAAAAAAAAAAAAAAAAAAAAAAACCTATGACTGAATAGGGGTTGTAATGATATGGTTTTATAATGGTGTATCATTTTATTATGGTTTTAAATATGTATCGATTTCCCTCCCATGTAGATAAATAGATATTATTCGGAAATATAATTTAAAATATGATGAATTTGATTTCGATTAATATGAAAATATTTCATTATTTATAAATTTTTTTTTTTTTAAAAAAAAGGGAGAGTTACAAATTCACAATTGGAACTTACATTATCATTACCATGGCCATCTAAAATAGATAAAAGGTCAAAGGCCAAATGCACTTCAAACCCACTATGCCTTTTCACAAAGCAATTATATGCCTCTTATTGATCAATCATTCCATTTAGACTGCTACAATGTATATTCATCCAATGTCATATCGCCCCACCAAAAGAAAAAAAAATAGCAAATTGGTTGACCACAATAACAATTAGTGCTTAATTAGGTGAATCTAATTAAAGCAAAGCTAGACATTTTGTTTTGTTTTGGGCATCTGATTAGAAAGGGAGTTTATATTTGGGATCTCTTCTTTAGAGGAGGTATATATGTGGCTTCCAAATTATGCTACCTTTGCCATTGCTAGAATGACCAAAAATTAATCATACTTCATTAAGGTATTAGTAAAGAAGTGATAACTGTGTGCAAGCTAGCTAGCCCATTTGTGCCTCTTTGTGCTAATACATATGGTATGGATGGCCCCTTAGGCTGCTCCAATTTGCCAAGTGCTCCTTTTGATAACTCAACAATGACCTTGTCATGGAATCAATTTAATGATTAAATTTGGTTTTAATGAGCTTATATTTCTTTTGTTTTAACAAAGCAAAATTATCTCCCATTAAGTTGATCATAAATGAATTTTTTATTAATGTATAGAATTTGAATCTTAGAGTCAAATTTGTTTAAAAAAAATAATTTTTATCGTTTTTACTTCGAATATAATTAATTTTATTTCTAATATTGGATATGAATACCTGAATAAAATCAAAATTATCTCCCATCTTCACCAACTTATGCCAATTTTGGTGTTAAATTATCACACCCTTTATCTTCTAGAAGTACGAACTCCTCATCATGCTGGACATGAAAGAAATTATACACACTTGGCAATAAGGAAAGAAATATGGCAGAGTATTGGGTTTGGTTTCACTCCCTATCAGAAAGAATTTGTTTAAATCAAACTACTAATTGGGTTGATATATATCGCAACCATGACATAAAGGGTTAGACAAATGCTCCACTAGATTATGTTTGTAGCATGCAAAGTGTTTGGTGCATAAGGCAGTTAAGGTAGGTTGGCGTTAGTAAAACAATTACTCTATTATAACTATGAAGATTTGTAACTTAATTTCTTGACTAATTTGATAAACCTAATGACTCAAAGAAGCTCAATAAAACTGACCTTTTGCCTAAGTCAATTCCGACTGCTGCAAGGAAGAACATGATACATGATTTGGCTGGGAAAGAAAAATGCAATGTTTTTACTAGGTAGTTTTATTTTGAATTTGACTGCGTGTTAAAGTATTAATATAATACTATTTTTAATAAGGTTTATATTGAGATAATTTTTTTGATATAGTATTAAGTTATTATTTTTTAGATTGAGATGAAAATGATGGCTAAAACATATCGAGAACTCCTGAACTATATAATCATTTTTATTTACACTCCCTGCATGTAGTGTATTTTTAATTAGTACATGAATTATTAGATATTTAGATTAAGACTCCTTCTATCACTATTCATCGCCTCCATGACTTCACCATTTTGGCTACTAATTAAATTACTTATAAAGACCACAAAAATAATTTTTTCAACTTCACAAACAATATTTCAAAATAAAAAGTTTAAAACAGTCAAGTACAAAAGTTTGGGTTTTAGTTTTTAGAATTAAAATTTTCCAGTCTAAAAAGACCCAAATCCAATAATGGTCCATGATTTATAAAGATGAACTTGTGGCAGCAAAATCTTTTACTTGATGATGGTTTCTTCACCAATAGTATAAGATTTTAATAATAAAAAAATCCTAATCCAAACACCTAATAATTTAAATATTAAAAAATATAGAGAGAGAGAGAGAAATAGTTTGTTAATTAAAATGGATACTATCATCAAGAATTATGGTCTAATGAAAAAAAATTACTTTAATTTGATTAAAACTAATATTTAATTTTTATTATTCACATATAATTAACTATAATTCATTTTTTATGGATAGTTAAATATAATTCTTTTTAATGATATTAGACTTGAACTGATTGGATTTAAAAAGTAGCCTAATAATCGACAAAATAATAATAATAATCTGAACAGGTTCTAGTTCAATAAGATTTTTGTGAAAATTGGCGTGAGGACGATTATTTGACACTGATTTGTCAAAGTAAATTAAGATGTTGTTTAAGTATGATCATCTTCATCATTCCCTCTTTCTGTTGCTTTTCTATGACAGGATGGACAGCGTGGAAATTGAGCCCGTTCTCATCTCTTTGTCAAAGAGGTTTCATGACAATGACATGTCACTCTCTTCTTTCCAATAGCTGGGTTTTTGAGGTGTTTTCTTCCCTTTCCATCTCTCTCCAAACTCACTAATTTGTTGATTTAATGTGAACTCGATCCAATCAATCTTTGGAAGGACATCTTTTATCACTTATAGTGGAAGAAGGAGAAATTAGCGATCTGATTCAAGGGATATTAATTAATTCTAGCATTATGACTATTGTCTCTGTTAATAATGGTTATCATACTGTACAAGATGAAGACCCGAGCAATTGCACGGAAAACTCAAACTAAATATTGAGTTTTTGAAATACTCGTAAATACATGATACAAATAGAATGTTTCTTTTATATTTATTACAGAAGAAAACCTATCTGCATGATTCATAAATATAAAATACAAATATTTAACTAAAAAATAAAGAGAACTCAATCTATCTATTTAAGAAAAAGAATTAAAATTTCTCTACTTCCCTTGCAACATGGTATAACAATTTGACAATTGTTGGTAAAAATACCTAGTTGATGCAGATAGATGTCATTAGTCAACTATCTCGCGCTACACTAAGGGTTAGATAGAATAAAATTATTTCAATTTAATAGACAATGTTATGTTGTGGATCTAAACCGTATTTAATTAATATTTCTTTATGTATTTCATAATTTTTCAACTCAACAAAATGATTTCCTTTTGTTATGCATTAATTTTTAAATAAAAGCTTGTAATAGTTTAAATTGAAAACTTAATCTAAAATTCAAAAATATGCTATAAAAATATATTTTTCACCGGATCGTATCAAAAAATAATTTTTATTTTTATTTAATATCGACGACAAGTTTTTTTTTTAAAGTATGTACATTTGATTTGTTTATATTTATTCAAAAAATAGTCAATAATATTAGCATAAAAATAGTATTTGAATTATTGGGTGATTATTTTTAAAAAATATTTTAATTATTTTATTTGAAAAAAATTAGTTTCATGATATTAAAAAAAAAAACTAACAAACAAGTGGTGTTAGGTTTGTAGATGTATAGTCGTTTTTTTGATAAAATTGATGATTCAATTACACACATACACACACACACATCATAACCATACTTAGTGGAATGAGAGTGTGAAGGATAAAAAAAAAATTCAAACATAAATTATTTAAAATATACTTTTAACCTTTAGATTAAAAATATGTTTATAATCATTTTGCCATCACTTAAAAAGTTTAAGAGTCAATGATATAAATTATATCAATTTATTATCTAAAAAGGAAAAAAAAACAATTATATTCTAAAAATTTATTTCAAAATCTATATGTCAAGAAAAATAGATCATATTTATTCAGAAAATAAAATTTTATCAAAAATTAAAAATTCATTGGATGAGAATTTTTCTAAAAATGACAAATTAAAAAAAATAAATAATAAGAGTATTATAATCTAAAATATATGTTCATTTTAATATATATATATATATATATTTTGAGAGTGTGAAGAAAAAAAAATTAAGAAAAGCTCTAAAATAGAGCTTATCCATAAAAGATAGCTTTTTAGATTTTCACATCAGATCCACCAATATCTCACAGTTAGCTTAAATTTTATTGAATGTAGTTGATTGGTTGTTTGTTCAAAAACCAATTCAAAAAAACTCACTTTTAAAGACCAAACGACTGCTTAACTCAAAGATATATATGAAAATTTTAAAATATTCAAGAAATAATTAACAATAATTACTTTATAGCTCATTTTAAAGAGAGAGAAAAAGATATAAAAAGGAGAGAAAGCATAAATCATATATGAATTCATTAAAAATATTTTCACATACACTAAATTATTATTATTCTTAATTTTTTCTCCCCTATTTCTTTTTTCTTTTTTCCTTATATCTATCTCTATCCTATTGATCAGTAATATCTATCCATATATTATTGACTAAATATTATTAATTACTCATAAAATAGCATAAAATTTCAAAATCTGTACCATAAATTGACGTACCAAAACAAAAAAGGAAAAACACAATTTAGAGATGAAGAAATATGGTGGGACTAGCATTTCGTATTCAACAAGGAATCAATTAACAAACTCTACCTCCCTGATTAGCGGGGAAGAGCCATGTCACCTTTTTTTCCTCATTATAGTAATAAACAAACCAGCTGCCAACCTCCTCCAAAACCCCAGCTTATTTCTATTAATCACCAATTCCTTAAAATGAGTCCCCCTTGAAAACTCTTCTAACATATTAATAGAAGACATATATTTGACAAAACAATGGAATATGCATGCTTGCATCTTGGTGCACACTCTACACAAATGCATGCCATTCAAAGCATACTAATCATTAATTATACATAGCCATGATTCGGCATTTAGAAAATGGAATGTGTGTCATCTCGTTATGGTTAGTGCCATTTCATTAGGTTGCTCGTATGTGGTTCAGTACTACTCCAATATGGCATAATCCTGAGTTGATCATTAAAATTAGGTAGTTTTATCTTGAATTTGACTACTTGTGTTTATATTGAGATAATTTTTTTAAGATAGTATAGTATTATAATGTTTTTAGATTGAGATAAAGATGATTTTGCTTTACACACCCCGTAGTTTTTTTTTAGTATATCAATTATTTGATATTTAGATTAATACTCTTTATATCACTATTCACTAATTACTCATAACAAACACAAAAATAAAGAATTATTTTTAAAATAAAAAATATTTTAAACAGATCAAAAACAAAATTTTAGGTGTTAGTTTTTAGAAACAAAATAGTTTAAAAAGACCCAAATCTAGTAATGGTCCGATGAACTTGTGGCGACAAAATGTAGGGGTGAGCAAACGGTTAAACGGTTCGGTTTTGTACGATTCGGTTCGGTTTTCGGTTAACCGAATCAAGGAAAATAAAAACCAAAACCGAACCAAAATAAATTCGGTAAATTCGGTTTGTAACCAAATTATTTCGGTTCGGTTTCAAAATATTTCGGTTTTAACCGAAATGTTTTACTCGAAAAAAAATTCTAGACCATTGTTTCATTATCCGTCCTAAGCCACCATCATTTTCACCATTTATTATTAAAAAAAAAAAAAAAGACAATAAGAAAACAAAGCCCTTACATAGGAAATATCTTTTGCAGCTACCTAATCACAATAAGAAAACAAAGCTCTTACATAGGAAATATCTTTTGCAGCTACCTAATCACAGTTGACACACCGAATGTCCTAAATGAGAGAAGAAAAAAAATGTAGTTGTCTTCCTTCTTTTGCTTATTCCGAACTCATCAAGCACCGACAACATCCTAATTCTTAATTTGACCTCTATGATCTCCTTGCTTATCTTGCTAAAAAGCCATTGGGAATGAACCGCAGGAAACAAAATTTTAGACCGAATTAGTCACCGTTGAAAATTATAATTTTCCAACATCAATCACTATCATAACAAGATATATAAAGTAAGGTAAAGGTTACCAATATGTATAACATCCCTAATAATTTTACAATCATCATTCCCACTAAAAAATGTAGTCTAAAAGATTTTCATTAGCAATTTTGTGCAGTAGAAAAAAATTAAAACGACTTTCTTTCGGTTTGTAAAATTCAAGCTCACAGAGACCTAAAACCATCTTGCAATAGTAAGTTAATTTCATTTGATTGTCTTGCAAAGAAACAACTAAACTTGTAAAAGACAATTGATTGCAGTTAGTCATCAACTTTATTTAATTTTTTCAATTGATAGTTGACCAAATTAAGAATCTTAGAATTAATGAATGCCTCCTCCGACTCGATGAAGTGATGATGAAGGAGAATCGGAGAAGATGGAGCGAAGGATAGGGAGCTAGGGAGGCGCCGCTAAAAATTGATTTTGATTTAGTGAAGTTAGCCAATTAGGGTTAAAAAAAAAAAAATTTTTTTTTTTTTTTGCTTTTAATTTTTTCGGTTTTCGGTGAAAATCGAATTTTTTTTCAAAAACCGAACCGAACCGAAATAATTTCGGTTTTTCGGTTCGATTTTTAATTTTGTAAATTTAAGTTTAAAACCGAACCAAAATACATAATTCGGTTCGGTTTGATTCGATTTTCGGTTAATCGAACCATTTGCTCACCCCTAGCAAAATGTTTCATCTGGTCATAGTCTCGTCACCAATAACGATAGAATTCTAATAAAAACGTCTCAATCCTTACCTAATACCTCTTATATATATAAGTGTAAATCAAAATGGATACTATTATCAAGGTATGTGGTTTATCAGGAAGAGAGTTGCATTACTTTTATCAAAATTAAAATTCAATTTTTATTATTTAAAATAATTAATTAGAATTATTTTTTTAATAATATAAGATTTGTATTGATTTAATTTAAAAAATAGATCATGTAAAAATTGGCGCGACACTGATTTGTCAAAGCAAAAGATGTTGTTTAAGTACGATCATCTTCATCATTCCCTATTTCTGTTGGTTTTCTTTGATAGGATGGATAGGGTGGAACCATGTGCTTGGGAAATTGAGCCCATTCTGATCTCTTTGTCAAAGAGGTTTCATGACAATGACATGTCACTCTCTTCTTTCCAATAGCTGGGTTTGTGAGGTGTTTTCTTCCGTTTCCATCGCTCTCCAAACTCATTAACTTGTTCATTTAATGTGAACTCGATCCAACAAATCTTTGGAAGGACGTCTTTTGTCATTTATAGTGGAAGAAGGAGATGTTAGCGATCTGATTCAAGGGATATTAATTGATTCTTAGCATTATGACTATTGTATCTGTTAATAATGGTTATCATACTGTACAAGATGAAGATCGGAGCAATTGCACGGAAAACTCAGACTAAATATTGAGTTTTTGAAATACTTGTAAATACATGATACAGATAGAATGTTTCTTTATATTTATTATAGAAGAAAACTTATTTGCATAATTGATAAATATAAAATACAAATATTTAACTAAAAGTACAGAGTCCACAATCTATCTATTTACAAAAGAATTAAAATGTCTCAACTTCCCTTGCAACACGGTATAACTATTTGACAATTGTAGGTAAAAATACTGGTTCGATATGATAGAGCAAATAGATGTTGCTAATTAATTGGCTGAGCTACATTACCGGTTGTATGGAACATAATTATTTTAGTTTGATAGACAACTTCGTATTACAAGTCTATGAAATCATAATAAATTAAAAATTAAAAAAATATTAATTTTTTAATTTTCAATCAAAATCTTTTATTTAATTATTTTTTCCTATGTTTTTTCATAAATTTTCAACTCAAAACAAATGATTCCTTTTATATATATATAAGTTTGTAATAATCCAAATTAAAATTTTAATCTAAAATTAAAAGACATGCTATAAAAATATGTTTTTTTTATCAGATTGTATAAAAAATATATTTTTTTAATACTAATGAGAAGTTTTTTTGGAAAGTATGAATATTTATTCACAAAATAGTTAATAATATCAACATAAAAAACTATATTTAAGCCGTTGGATGATTTTTTAATTATTTTATTTCAAAAAAATTAGCTTTATGATATTAAAAAAATAATGATAAATAATTGATGTTATATGTGTAGTTGTATATTTAAGTTTTTATAAAATCGATGATTCAATTTTCGATTTGACATAGTAAATAAATGTCATTAGCTTCTCAAATTGCATCTACAAACAATATATAAGGTGAGAAAAATTATTATTTTAGTTGGTTAAAAAAATTGAAAAAGGAAATTAAATTGAGAAATATTGTTTTATTTATAGTGGGAGAAAGAGTTTATTTTTTTTTTAATTCACACGATAGCATTAATTAAAAATGCAAAAAAAAAAAACAAAAAACAAAATCATGAAATTATTTTCTTTTAGAATCAATAAAATTTTGTTTATCGTCTTTTCGGGGAAAAAAAAACTTATTGCATATACTTAATCTATTAATAGAACAGTTTTTGTTTTATTCCAGGAGAGAGCATGATTAGATTGAAAAGAAAGAAAAAGTTTATCAAAATTTATTGTCTTTCTTGAATCAAGAAATCTTTATTTACTTGTAATCAATAAACTTATCCCATATATTTTTGGGTCTTATTAAATTCATCATCAAATTTGTTATTATCACCACTTTTTTTTAAAAAAAATTACTAATGCATCTTTCTTGTTAATGTTTGTTACTATCTCATAGTTAAATATATTTTATATCAAATACCTAAAATATCTCAAATTTAAATGTGTTTGAAAGCAATAATAAAAAATAAAAATAAAAATAAAAATAAAAATCTTGATGGACATTTTAGATATTTTGATATAAAAAATATTTAATTATGATATAGCAAAAAAATTGATAGGAAGGTATGTTGGTTATTAAAAAAAAACAAATAGTGAAAATAACAAATTTGATGGTAGATTTACAGGTATCCATACTTTTAATCTAGTAATTATAGTTTTAATTACTTTTTTAAAAACTTTTTGTTTTATGCACTGGAGTTGGCTCTGGAGTTTTTCACATTAGATCTACTCGTACTTCGGAGTCAGCTTTTGTTTTATTGAATGTAGTTGACTAGCTGTTTGCCCAAAATCCCGAAAGCCCACCTCACTCCTAAAGACCAAAGGACTAATTAAGTGAAAAAATGTATGATAAATTTATAAATACTCTAAGAATAATTAACAATAATTACTTCACAAGCCCATTTTAAAAAGAACAAAAACAATCATAAATTATATCTAAATTCATTAAAAATCATAAAAATATTTTTATCTGAACTCAATTATTTTTTTTAAAAAAATTATTTTGTTCTATATATATATATACAGCAATATCTATCTCTATCAAGTATTATTAGTTATTCATAAAGTAGTATAAAATTTTTAGATATACACCATAAATTAACCTATATATCAAACAAAGAAAAAAGAAAAACACAATTTAGGGAGCAAGAAATATGGTGGGATTAGCATTTCGTATTTAACAAGGAATCAGTTAACAAGCTCTGCCTCCCCTGATTAGCGGGGAAAAACCATGTGACCTTTTTCCTCTTTGTAGTAATAAACAAACCAGCTGCCAACCTCCTCCAACACCAGCTTATTTCTAACTAATCACCAATTCCTTAAAGTTGTTCGATTCTATCAGTGAAGTTGGTCGGAAACGTCCCCATGATAACTCTTCTAATGTATTAATTAGAAGACATATATTTGACAAAATAATGGAACACGCATGCATCTTGATGCAGAGAAAGCACAAATGCATGTCATTCAAAACATACTAAAATACTGGCATAATTTAAGCAATTAGAAAATGGAATGTGTGTCATCTTCTCCGTTGCGTGGTTAGTGCCGTTTCAATTGTGGTCCTTGTGGGTTGAGTTGATCATTGAAATTGATTAGCTAGTTCAGGACAAAGATTTTGTTGAATTGAATGAAATGGTGGTCCATGTTGCAAACATGACAAATCCAAAAAAGGTTTGGTCAGCTTTTGGTGGGAATGCAAAATCCAATCCATCAATTTTCAGCGGACACTAGCTTTCAGTGGACACTACTTTTCTCTGTTCGCTTTACAATTTCGACGAAAACGTGTCAAGTGAAAATATTAATTTTAAGGTTACATAAATTGTTGGAATGTTTTTTAACAAAACATCGAAAGTTATATTAATTATTAAATAATAATAATAATCAACATTGCCGCTTTAATTAGATTTGTAGTGTTTTTGAAACTATTTTGATAACAGTTTCATAACAGCTCCATTCATTTAAAAAAAATTAAAAAAAATGTTTTTTTTTATTAAGTTAACTATACTCACTATTTTAAATTTAATTGTAATAATTGATTATTAAAAATGGCTCTTTTGTTTGAGCTATATATATGTAAATATGTGACCAAGTTTTTGAAAAATGGTGCAGGAGATGCTTTGCTAAGGAAAGAAAAATATACAGCACCATGTAATAAAACATTTGTTTTATTTTTTATGCTCCCACTTAAAAAAAAGGCATATGATTTTTAGTTTTATGTTTGGAGTAAAAGTGGTGCTAATTTTATCTAGAGTTTCAAGTCTTATAAGTTTGTAAGTTTGTAAGACTAGTGCAAACCTATAAAACATGACAAAGTGTATTAAGGTGGTTGAACGTATTGTATCTCCGAGATGACGTGTAATATATTTTTAATTTGTTGCATTAGATAAATTCTACGGATGACGTATATCGTCTCAAGAAAGCAATCTGGTTATGTCTCGAGTCAATCACCTAAAAATTATGATAAAACTATTTTGATGGTTCGATTATCTTTATACCTTAACACATGCGATTTTTTCATAGTCAAGGTAAAAAGTTTCAATTCATTTGTCCATCTTAATTTATGATTAATTTATTTATTAATTTATTATGTTAATTTTTATTATTTAATTATGTTCTTTTTGTGTGCTAGGAATAGCAATTTGAGACGATAAAATGTCGTGATTTAATGATTAATAATCAAAGTCTAATTACCATTGACTAGTGTGTATATGGTGAAACTTAAATTAGCTAAAAGGTCAAGCTAATGAAGAAGCAAGTGGGTGTTATACTTTGTCTAAAATAGGAAGAATGAAAATTTCTTACCACTTGTCTTAGCATTAATAATTTAATTAAGTACCGATTACCTAATCTTTTGAGTATATATGTGGAATATTGTGCGATTAAAATCTTTAGCTAAAAAAAGAGTTAGATGATACATCGAGAGGTATGAGACTAAGCTCATAAATGAATAAAATCACATATATAGATACTAATTGAAAATCCTAAAAACTAGGTTCAAAGAGAAGAACGAGCATAAAATGGTTTGATTACATGCACAATTATTTGAGTTACAATACTCCTATGTCTATTCCTACGATGTAGTGGACGAATCACATAATAAAAAAAAGGCTAAGCTTCTTTAAATGAAACTTTTAATGTAGTCTATAGTTTTTTTGAATGAAATGTTATAGTTATGAGAGCATCATTGATAGACATACCTATATGAGTAAGGAAGTGGGGTCACTTCCTATGAGAATAGGGCTAATTCTTTAAAACACTCACCGAAGCTGAAATCAAGCACTAGGCTATAATGTGCCGACTCTAAAACTTGTCGTAGAGTACTTGAATATAATACGTTTGATAAAATATTTGTTTCTCCTAAAAAGCATTAGTTCAAGACAATGTTCATTATTGGCTTGTGAGCAATGTTGTTGAAACACTAAGGGTTTAAGCCATTGACACCATTATTATGTATTATATTTGTTTCCTACCTAGGGATGGCAATTTGTCCCGCCTCAACGGAGCCCCGTGTCAATTTTCCAAGGTTAACGCGGGGATTCCCCGCTTTGATCGGGGAATGGGGCGGGCGGGGATGGGATTTGCCTACCTCGTCCTGTTTGTCCTATTTTTTTCATTAAAATTATAATTATACCCCATATAAAATCTATAATTAGTGACTTTTAGGGTTTATTTTCTATATAAATTATCATTTTTTTCTATAATTTAAAATTTGGTAGTAAATTGGATAAAATAAGATGAAAAAAAATAATTTTTGCTCCGTTTACGCCCCGTTTTGGGGTGGGGCTGGTAGGGGAAATTTTGCTCCGTTTGGGGCACGGGGCGGGGATAGGGAAAATTTTTTAAGGGCGGGGCGGGGACGGGGATCCCCGTTCGGGGCACGAGGCGGGGATGAGGAAAATTTTTAGGGGCGGGGCGGGCGGGGATGGGGATGGCGATGCCCGTCACCGCCCCACCCGATTGCCATCCCTATTCCTACCCTAAAAAATATGGCTAATATTTTATTAAAAAATAAGTGGAGGATTTTTCATTGAAAGTTATGTTAATTGTAAAATAATAATAATAATAAATCAAGGTAGCCGTCTTAATTAGATTTGTAGTCAACTGTTTTGATAACAGTTTCATAATAGCCTAATTCATTTAAAAAAGAAAATTAAAAAATAGCTTTTTATTAAGTTAACGTTGCTTACCGTTTTTAATTTAATTGTAATTATTGATTATTAAACATGACTCTTTTGTTTGATATATATGTGTGTGTGACCAAATTTTTGAAAAAAGGTGTAGGAGATACTTTGTTAAGGAAAGAAAAAGTATAACACCATCTAATAAAACATTTGTTTTATTTTTTAATACTCCCACTTTAAAAAAAAAAACCATATAATTTTTTTAGTTCTATGTTTGGGTAAAAGTGGTGCCAATTTTATTTAGAGTTTCAAGTTTTACAAGCGAGTGCTTTAAAACATGATAAGATAGTTGAACTTGTTATATCCTTGAGATGACGTGCGATATATTCTTAATCCGTTGCATTAGATAAATTATATGAATGATATGTATCGTTATAAGAAATTAATTTGATTGTGCCTCGAATCAATCACCTAAAAATTATGATAAAACTATTTTGATGGTTCTATCATCTTTATATCATGAAACATAGTAACGTGATTTTGATTTCAATTTTTTTGACGATCAAAGTAAAAAGTTTTCAATTTTTTTGTCCATATTAATTTATGATAAATTTATTTATCTATTGTGTTAATTTTTATTATTTAATTATGTTCCTTTTGTGTGCTAGGAACAACATAAATAAGAGTAAAAAATAAAAAATGGGTGGTGTGAGAAGGGATTTGGGTTATGCTTTTGGTTATTTGACAATATTTTTGGGTGCAAGATTTTCCATTTTGAAGTAATTTTCAGGGATTCAATCAAAACAATTTGACCCTGGCATAGTGCAGCAGCATATGCAAACACAAAATGCAGTTGACCCTGCCGCACCATTGTAAGTCGACACACAGATAAATCACAATAAAACAATGATTTAGAACAGAATTTCTGGCTAGCGTAAGTGACATAAAAAGTTAATGACATTTGCTAATCATCATGACGAGGTAAATGACGCAATAGTGCTAGAGCTAAAAGTCCAAAAGTTTCTCTTTCACCATCATTTTGAAATAAGAAATTAACCGTCACTAATTAATGGTTAAAATTATCTCCACTTCTGCCATGCTGATCTTGCTATGTTGTGCAGAGCGCAGATTAAGTAATTTTATTTGCTTAAACAATTCAAATTAAATACTAAAAGTAGCGTTTTGTTTCTGCCTCAGGACAATTTTTCCATAAATATATTACGCATTTCCTTAAATTAAACAAATGCCTCAAGAGTTTTCCATACGCTTTCTTTATGCTTGTAACAAGGTTTTACTTTTGTTATGTTTTTAATTAAGGAAATTAAGGTCAATGGTGTGCAGAGTCCAAGACATGTTCCAGAATTTTACGTTAAGTTCTTACTTCTTAGGTAAACAAGGAAGCCGATTAATTTATCAAGCTTCCTTTGAAAAACTTAAGATGGAAACCAGCCAGCTTAATTTCTGACAGCAAAACAGGGCCTACGTTGCTTGAACAATGTTGTTGTAGGCTTAAGTATCTTTTCCCTCACTTCAACACTAACAGATACGAACGCATTAAAGTGAGGAAAGTTGGGAAGCAAATACATCAAAAGCTAATTGATGCTAAAGTATTGTGAAATTTTCAGTTAAATTGAGATATGTATTTAATCTTTAAAAATTTTAACACAACTATCATAAACTATTTTTCGTTAAATAACAGATTTTACTAATCGTTTTTTTTTTTTTTTGGCATTTATAGCACTTAAAAGTTACATAATGATTTAAAATATGATATACGTTCTAATAACTTAAATACAAAATATAAAATATGTATGAAGATATCAATAAATAAAATACGTGTTATTTTTAAAAACTGCCATATGATTTTTACGAAATTAACGCTAAAAAACTGATTGAAAAGACTTATTATTTATTAAAAAATAATTTTAAGATTATAAATACATATCAATCTGACAGAAAGTTTAAAATGCTTTTAGATGATCTAAGCATAAATGAACATTTGTTGTTGGGCCAATCTAACCTGGGTTACATTTCAAGGGATTGGTTAATATGTGGGTTCCATCTAATTTCGCAAGGACATCAATGGTACTGTACGTTTATAAAGTGACTGTATAATAAATATGGTAACAAAGGCAAAACATAAAAAGTAGGGGTGAACTCTGGCTTTGCTTAGTAGCTAGTTGGATTTGCTTTGATTACCAAAGCCCTTGGGTCAAGAGTTGGGACTGGAGAGACAAAAATGTGAAAAGAGGCGGCCTTTTTCATCTGAAAGGGAGTAATCTGCCTTTCGATTTAGATGACTTGCATGATTGATATGCTTAAATTTCAACAATGTAGTAAAACAAAAAAAAAAAAGAGTAGATGTAATCATACCTTAATGTTGATGATTATAGCCATTATTACGTTTTTGAACGAATTACAGCCATTATTCTTATTAGAGACACAAATTCTCATGATTATTGACATGAGTGGTTTGTTAAAGTTATTATTATTTTTTTTTTAATTACAGAGGACTGGTCTAAACTCAAACCTCTTAATTTTAATGATACACAAATTTGTAGTAATTTATTGTTTCGATCTAGCTCATTGCAGTCTCTTTACTTCAATAATTGGATAGCATATAGGATAAAAATAGTACGAGCTATTATATATATATATATATATATATAAAAGAAGTTAAATTAACTTTATCCATTAGATTTGCTAGAGCCATCGAACTGAGAAAATTAATGGACTATTTGAATCCACATATTATGCAACTGGGAAAGACAAATGTTGACCCATAACATGTTATGGGCACTGTACTTTGGATGTCTAATCATATGGGTTGCAAAAATAAAAATAAAATAATAATAGTAATAATTTGATTTTTATTGAAGCCAGACCAGATTTCTGGTTGAAACCTTTTTCTAGTCAAATTCAGTTTGTGATACAAAATAATAGGTTCAAAGTCCTGTCTTCCTTTTAATTATTTTTGTATAATATATCCGTAACAAAGCCTGAAATTCAGAGGAGGATTCACGAATATACTATAATGGATTTGGCCGCCTACCACATTTGACGTTGAGATCATTTCATTGTAAAAGTTTAGTTACGAGCTCCAATAGGTTAGGACAACCACTTAGAAGTAGTTGTTGGTTTTTAACTATACATTTGTACCTTATTTAAGATAAATTTTATAATAAGTAATTAGAGTATATATATATATACGCGTGTGTGTTTGCGTGTGTGTTTGTGTATTAATTATTCAATTGATCCATTTTTTAAAAAATAGACACATAAAAAAATTACATTTGAATTTACTTAAAATGATAAAAAAAATTTCATATTGGCTCAATTTTTTTTTAAAAAATTTCTCTCTCTCTCTCTTTTTTTTTTTTTTTTTTTGTCTATTTCTCTATAGAATAACTTACATTATTTACTCCTTAAATGTTATAAAATTTCTTGTTATTTCAGTTTTATACTATAGTTGAACAGCTATTAATTAATGTCTCTTTTTACTCTAAAAAAGTTCTAGTTTGAAACTTTATTTTGGTAAAAAAAAAAAAAAAGGTTTCATCTCTATGACTATTCAAGTCAATAAAATGAAAAAGATTGCATTTGCTTCAATATATCAAAATTTGGAGAAAATATATTTGACTGATTTTTCGTTTTTGACAGAAATCAAAAAAGATTTTAATATATATTAAATTCATCAGAATTTTCATCGAATATTAAATAAAAATATATCTTAATTCTCAAAAAAAAAAATCAACATAAAATTAAAATTAAATAAGAAGAAAATTTTATATAAAATTTCAATAAGAAATTCCGTTGATTTTTTTAAATTATTATTTTTTCCTTAACCGTTAGCATTCTGTTGGAAATTTAGTAAACATGCAGCTAAATGATTAAACTAAAATAGTCAAAATACAGAAAAGTAAGCTTGATTGTTACATAAGAAATCTAACCGATCAATATAAATGTTTTTGTGAGATCTAGCATATGCTAGGAAATATAACTGCCGCTAATAAAATTTATAAGAAATAATACCTTGTACATATTCTTATTTTAGTTTTAATACTCAGCTTTTTTTTTCTGGATACATAAATTCTTGCATTTATTTTGGTTGTAGACAAATTATTTGTATTTGAATTGATGTGTCTATAAAAATTTTTCTTAATTTGATGATGGCATACAAGCAAAGCCTAATAAATACATGAGTAAAAAAGCTCAAAAGATTTGTAGTAAGGGAAAAAAATGAAAAAGAGAAGCGCAGTAAACTGGCGGGCAAACGCTTTGCATGGGGATTGGCACAGGGGCACAAACCGGAAGAACCGGTAACCTTGACGAACGCAGACTCGTTTTGCCGTACTCATAGCAGGACAGCTGTCAACGACGTACATTTTACAATCCACATACAGATTCGTACGCAACCGGATTCTAAAAAACGACCTCCCACGTGGCAACGTGGCAAACAGCAGCAGCGAGTATTAATAACTCACCGTCAAAGGGCGTACCACATACCAGCAAATCGAAATAAATATGCTTACATGGCCACGGTAGTCCCCGGTGAATGCTAGCTGATGTGTCAGAAATGGAGGTGTTTAGGCACGTGACGGACCGACACGCATGAGACTGTGGAGACTTAAAAGCTCTCTCTCTCTCTCTCTCTCTCTCTCTCTCTCTCTCTCTTGTCAAGAGAGAGAGAATACGGAATCAGTTAGTGACAGTTAGAGAGGAGGGGAGGTGGTTAATATTAGAGGGTTAATCGACTTAACTAGAGTTAAAAAAGAGGGTTAAATGAAGTTAGGCAAGTGATTTTAGACAGTATAGACGTTTATTTTTTGGCTATAAAAAAGGAGCCGAGCTTCACTTTTTCTCCGAGTCCATCTTCTTTCTTCTTCATCGTCGTCAAGAGACAGCCAAAGAAACAGAGTACCTTGCTCTTATTTAAAGAGAGAGGATAGAAAGAGCAGAGATATATATAAACAGAGAGTTTGTGCTGTGTATTTTGATTCAACAATGGCGGTTTCGCTAAGATGCTTCTGTGCATGGACATTGCTGGTTCTGGTTATGTTTGTTAGTGTAAATGCTGCGGAAAAGAAAGACGAGCTAAAATTGAGGTACATTTTGACGAGAATTTATTCTATTTAGCAGATTGCAGTAGTAATTAATGGAAAAAAGAGGTGCATTTTTTCACATTTCAATCACTGTGTTCTTCATTGCTAGCTCCAAATGAATCTCCATAAATGAGCATTTTCTTTTTGTTTATCAGTCTACTGCATTGAATGAATTATGAAGAAAAATTAAGTTTAGAATGAGTTAATATTCAATGCAGTGTCGTGACTTGTTTGCTTATTTATTCTTTCTATCAGGTTGAAGGAAACTGAAGAGTTGCTGAGCTCAAGGAACTCATCAATGGCGGATTGGTGAGTTACAGAGCATTTAATTTTTTTCAACAGAGATCCTGACGTTACACGTGGAAAATGGTGGATCTCGGACTGTTAGATGAATTCGAGTAGAATTTATCTAACCTCCGTTATTTTAAGCCATTGAGATCGCATCGGAAAAAATAAATCTGGACCGATCGTTATTTCTGTTATACTTAGTTAGATTTGCTAAAATCGCATCGCATGCATTCTGTTATCAGTTCTCGAGAAACAAATTAAGTTCGTTGCAGAATTAATTGCTCATTGGACTTCGTTATGTACGAAAATGACCTTATTCTTGCTCGACAGCATAATTTACGAGGCTAAATTAGTCATCAAAGAAGTGAAGTTCTTCGTCGTGAATTAAAATTCAGTCTTAATTGTATTTTTTTCAGGTCTGATGATGCCTGGAACGAGCATACTGTAGAGGATCCAGAGGAGGTTGCTGCAATGGTGGACGAGTGAGTAATTCTCTCTGTTTTTTATTTTCATTGTTGGGTCCCTCTTCCCATGAGAATTAGTATGAGCCAATCTAATGCATACTAAGTTATTAGTAATTTTAGTGGGCACATGTCATTCCATATATCCATAAATCTTGTGATTCCATCTAATAAACTTCTTAAATTAAAGAGCTAGAAACAAATCACATGACTCGTGCATATTTAAATTGAAAAGTAAACCCTGATCAAGATTTATTTATATTTACTGCATTCTCAATCAGAAGTGTAGTTTTTACTGGTCTTTGGAATATTAGAGGTCATTTTCACCTCGCTGGTGTTGAAATTCCAGTCAAACACAAAAGAGCCAATGACAAGTGATGTAGCTAGTTTGAACTTTGAAGCTACATTTGGAGAAGTATCCTGTTGTTCAATAAATAATAAAAAATTGGATATGTATCAAGCATATATAGGCTTTTACTGGTCTTTAGGAACGTTAGATGTCATTTTTACCTCACTGGTGTTGAAATTTCAGTCAAAAGAGTCATAGCGTCAAATTAATTTGAGAAAAATGAGTTACTAATAAATAACAAAAAGACGAAGTAAAGAGGGTAGAAAAACCTGGCTCACTTTATCCGAGAAATCCAACCTTGTATTGGTGATCATTGAAAACTTGTTTAGTTTTAGGGATAATCACTGGCTGTTTGGCTTCATCAATCATCTATCATCTATGTTAATTATAGTTTGTTGGCTATCTGCTTTTGGTTCTCTGCTATTGTCGGTTCATTATGATAACTTTAAGACCCTTTAAATTATTATTCATAAGAGTTCCCGTTTATATTTTGAGGATTAATCAACCACCATGTTCTCTGCTGCTGCAATCTTTCCACCTTTTAATCTTGCTGCCAGTTTATGCACATGCTCATGTCTTGAGATCCGCGCATCACGCCCTTAATTTATTTATTTCCTGTCCTCTTCTTCTTTCCCTATCCAAATCTCATTCGCAAGTACACGAGCTTTATATCCAATGCGTGTCAGACTTATGTAATGTGTATTGTTTTGCATGCTGCCTTTTGCTTTACTAGATCGCAGGATATCTAGCATGTCATTCTCTTTTGATGATAAGAGTGCATATCTTTTGCATTCAGTCTTCTAATTTAACATATAAGCTAGTTCCTTGAACTAATTTGCATTATTTATATACTGGAATCCACTTCCAGTAATGCTATCTGGCACTAAATTTTACAATAAATTTCACTCAAGTTTTGTCCTTCCTGCAGAGTAACAATGCTGTTGATATTCATTCTTTCACACCATAATAAATTCGAAAATTTTTCCAATTGAGGGAAAAATTCAGAGTTTTCATTTAATTGGAACTATAATAATTTCGTACCTTGTAAGAAGATCAGGTGGGGAAGACAACTTCAATTTTGCGCCCATTCTCCAGCCTGTCAAGAGGCAGTAGATACAAATCACATAGCACAGATCTGGTTTTGTACCATATGACTCTATCCGAGTCTTTTTTGTTGATCCAAGCAGCTGCTCAATTTATTCCATAGAGTCACCATGAACTCATTAAATGACCACATTTTTATTGTCCACCGACACACCAAGTACCAGACAGGAATTAGTTCCCCCAATTTTGCATTTATTTCTTACACAATCACACACACTTTTCCGTATGCACCGTATCCCTCTATCCCTATACATCTCCCATCACATGGCCTACACAGCATGGCTTTAACTTCCAAGTGATTGATTAAATTCTTACACTACATTTGTCTGGGACTTTTAACACATTAATGTTGTCACAATAATCGTGGATTAATATTTGCCCTTTCGATCTTATATTGCTGCTACAGCCTACACATGCTTGACTTAGACTTCAGACTCGTTACTTCTAGATAATTAGTAACTCACATGCCGATTCATTGCAAAAAGACAGGAGCAATTTGATTAATTATACGATGGTAATAGCAATTTCATAGCTGTGATTTCTGATTTTACCAGGAGCATACGCAACAGCACAGAAAGGAGGAAATTGGGATTTTTCTCATGCGTAACTGGCAATCCTATTGATGATTGTTGGCGTTGTGATCCCCACTGGCAACGCCACAGAAAGCGCCTTGCTAACTGTGGCATTGGTTTTGGACGCAATGCGGTCGGTGGCCGTGATGGAAAATACTATGTTGTTAATAACCCCGGTGATGATGATCCTGTTACGCCGAAACCAGGCACACTACGCCATGCTGTCATTCAAGACCAGCCTTTGTGGATTGTGTTCAAGAGGGACATGGTGATTACCCTCAAGCAAGAGCTTATCATGAACAGCTTCAAGACTATCGATGCTCGTGGAACCAATGTCCACATTGCCAACGGGGCTTGCATCACCATCCAGTTTGTCACAAATGTCATAATTCATGGTCTCCATATCCATGATTGTAAGCCTACTGGCAATGCCATGGTTCGCAGCTCGCCTAGCCATTATGGGTGGAGAACAATTGCTGACGGAGACGGAATTTCCATTTTTGGAGCAAGCCACATTTGGATTGATCACAATTCTCTTTCAAATTGCGCAGATGGCCTTATTGATGCAATAATGGGGTCAACCGCCATTACCATTTCAAACAACTATTTCACTCACCATAACGAGGTCAATTATATTTTCTATCCATCGATGTTTTTTTATTATATGGTTTATTGAAACTATGTGGAATGACTTCGAAAATGGTTAACAGGTTATGCTATTGGGCCATAGTGACTCCTACACGAGAGACAAGCAGATGCAAGTGACTATTGCTTATAACCATTTTGGTGAGGGTCTTGTCCAGAGAATGCCAAGGTAACTGATAAATGATTATCATCAATATCCCTTGTGGGGCTTGCTCGCAGGATTTATAGAATGAATTTAACGGGGTCCTTCCATTAACCTTGCAGGTGCAGGCATGGATATTTCCATGTGGTGAACAATGACTACACACACTGGGAAATGTATGCCATTGGAGGAAGTGCTGAACCCACCATTAACAGCCAGGGCAACAGATATCTTGCCCCTGCCAACGCTTTTGCCAAAGAGGTATCCTAAAGATAAACATGCGATTTATTGTGATAAGGATGATCATGTTATTCATGTGAAGACTAAATTATAACAATCATGAGAAAACTGATACTGTCAGGTGACAAAAAGGGTGGAAACTGATACCAGAGAATGGAGGCAATGGAATTGGAGATCGGAGGGAGACCTCCTACTAAATGGAGCCTACTTCACTCCATCCGGAGCTGGAGCTGGAGCCAGCTATGCCAGGGCCTCAAGCTTAGGGGCCAAATCCTCATCGATGGTCGGGGTCATCACTTCGGATTCTGGTGCACTTGTCTGCCGCAGAGGCCGCCAATGTTAATTCTCAATCCATCAATAGTAAAAACAAAAGTTCAGTACAAAAAGACAGGTCAAAATTTTTCCTTTCCCTTCCCTTCCCCCATTATTGTTATAGCAGTACCCAGTAAGGATGCAGCTATTCTGTTCACAACATCACATTCTCTGTATTTCTCCCCAATGCCCTGCCCACCAAATATCTGGCAAGTGTACATTTATACTACATGTGCCATACTGCTGTCACACCAATATACAATATTCTACCTGTCACCTTGCCACTGATCGACCTCAGCCTGCTTTAAATGCTGCAGTGCTGTTCGACATCTTTATTCTTCGTAAGCAAAGAGTTTGTAGTATAGTGATAATGATCTCTTACAATAACAAGTTATGGGTTTAAATTTTAATAGATTTGTTCTATAATGAGTCTTGAATGTATGAGTTAAAAAAAAAAATAATCTCTATTCCTCGTAGAGTTTAGTCCCCCTGCTTCCCTATTGTATAATTCAATTCTCTATTGGATCAACCATGTCATGTCAGAGATAATGTTTAATTAACTAGTATCAAGGTGTTCTTTGCTTTAATCAATTGGTATTGCAATTATGGATTGTCCTTCTTATCTCCCCTGTAATTAGTGGTCTCACAAATTGCACATGATGGCACACAATGCAACGATGCATTTAGCTGTTCAACCTCAACTTCAATATCTGTGAAACTTAATTACCAATTAGTTGATTCATAATTAAGGCTTGGTTACTGACAATGGATTGGGATTCTCTAATCTTTCAAGGAACAAGGCCTATTATATATATTTTCCCAAATCATAATCTTTGGATTGTTATTTATTTATTTTCTGTTTTCAAATTAAAGCTAGGCCAAAACAGAATCCAAAAACCACCAAGCTATCTCCATAAAAATGAAAAAAAAAAAAAAAATTGGCATGGTAGCTTAAAATGCATCTTGGTAGTGTTTGGATTGTGTCCAAGGCAGAACGGACAAAGGCAACAGGGAGTCTAGGACAGAACCGTGTTTGTTAGGGAAGATAGAGACAAAAATTTATAAAAGATAGTTTGGGGGCCAATTTTATTTCCCTTAAAAAAGGAGGGATTAAGAGACATAAAACTTGTACTTTGTTTAAAAAATAATGTCCCTTTAAACAAAGAGTAAATTATAAATTAGTCCCTCTTGTTTTGAGAAATGAATTAATTAATCCCTATTGTTTCAAAAATTAATCATTTAATCCTCATGTTTTGAATTCTACTTGTGATTTATTTTTTTGCTCTTTTTTAATTCATTTTTATTTTTTGTTATAAGAAATAGAAAAATAAAAAAAATATGAAAAAATATAGAAAGATTGATGATAAAATAAGAGATTTTGTGGAATAAAAATAATATTTAATTAAGCATAGTCAACACTAATTAAATGATTAAATAATAGTTTTTAAAATGAGGGAGACTAAGTAATTTGTTTCTTGAAACTAGAGGGACTAATTTATAATTTACTTTTTAAACAAATTATTATTTCAACTTCTACGCAACTTTTAAATCTGTACCATTGATTTTGTAAAAGTTATTCTATACCATTGGGTTGAAAACTAAAAAAATGATTAAAAAAATCATAAAAATTGGAAAAATATTAAGAGAGATAATTTTGACCGAATGAAATTTGACCATGAAATTGGGTAATATCTCCATCAAATGGGAGTTCTTATATCATAATTTGAAAGATATTTGATTTGAAGATTTTTTAAAAAAAAAACTATGCAAATTGAATTTGTTTTGGTTGATTTGTTGATTTAAAATGTTTTCTAACATTTGATTTATGTTTGTTTAAGGGAGTGATTTCTGATAGAGATATCACTTGATTACAGGAGATTATGATTATGCCTTGATTGTACAAGATTTGATTATTGATTATACGAGATTGTGTAATTTATATACATATATATGATTACTCATTAATAAGATAACATGCAATTCTTATATCCTCTTCTCCTCTTCTTTAACATGATATCCTTCTCTCTCAACGCCGGTACATTCTAGATCTTCTTGCTCGCAGCCAAATGACTTACATCAAACTAGTACTGACTCCTCTTCTTGTCGATCCACCACTTACACTAAATTCTAGCTCCACCCTCATCGATCCTACTAAATATAGAGTCATTGTGGGTAGCCTATATTACCAATCTCTAACCGACCAGATATTGCCTTGGAGGTAAATAAGTTGTACTAATAGATGTATTGTCCAACCATTGACCATTGGTCTACTATGAAACGTCTCCTCCACAATTCATGAGGTACTTTTAATTATGATATTACTCTCCATCCTAACTCTCCACCATCACTCTAGGTCTCTTGTAGTTACTAGACTTTCGTAGGATTCCTAAAATTTTATGATTATTTTTGTTACAATTTGTTTATTTAAGGATATAAGTTATTATTAGTTTTAAAATTGTCACTTAGTATTAAAGGTAATTAGGAACCTAAAATATATAATAGTTCGGAGATTATAAGATAATTAGGAACCTAAAATATATAATAGTTCGGAGATTATAAGATAAGGAGTTAGTTATGTATTTGGAAATATATCAATTACATAAAGAAATCATTTTCTTATAAAGGTATAATGTTTAGTTTAGTTCTAAAGTTTATCTATTAAAAATTTATATTTATTACCAAAATTGATTCTAAGTCAAAATTCTAATTTTTATCTTCTAATCCAAATTTATTTTTTTATTCTGTTTATGGCATTATATTGAATCGATAGTCGAATTCCACCATCAATAGTCTCATCAATTCAACATCGGATCTAGTTTAAGTCTTAACATAACCGATATATCAAAGAACGACATAATTACTAAACCGTGATTGATTTTAGTTGACATTAGTTCCTATTAGATAAAAAGACTTTGTTAATTTTCACTCGATATTTTCTATCTTTTCTTAATCCCTTTTTAACATTTTCTCTTTTTTTTCTTTTTTTCTCTTTTATATATATATATATATTTTGTTGGTGGAGAGTCGTCATTTGTCCCTAAATCCCTAAAAGTTAAGAGACTTGACGACTCGTTCACCTATTGGTTATCTAATTTAATTGTTGAAAGAAAATTAAATGTTGACTAAATAAATAAAAGGAACTCAAAAATTCAAAAAATATTAAATCTAAACTAAGCATAAAATAAAAGGCATATATTAAAAATTCACAATTGATTTACCTAGGAAAATGGCTAAAATTAGGATTATTAGACCTTTGGGCCCAAGTAGCCCTTCGACCCATTAGGCTAGGCCACTAGACAACCTCCCTCTTTTTCTTCCTAGGCTCACACGAGCTAGGCTAAGCCTAGCCCATCCTTTTCTCAAGTAGGTCGGGCCCTTTCCTTTTATTTTTTCCTCGGCTAGAATGTCTCTCATTTTCCCTTCTTTTCTTTCTTTTCTTTTTATTTTTTCTTCTTCTTCTTCTTTTACTACCTCACTCGAAGTTCCCAATAGAGATTAACTTACCAAGTTGAACGAATGATAAATCTAGTATGAAATGGATGAAATAAACAATGAATGAACTTGGGGTTGCTTGAATGGGATTAACGGAAAAACGAGATTGAATGTGGAATCTAGACTTGGTATACTATTGTTGTTGTTATTGTTCTTTTGCATGTGATTGAAGATTATTGGGACTTAAATTGTTGATGATTTGTGATCGAAACATAAATTGATAATTTTCCTAGAACCAGAATCAAACAAACTAGTGGACTGCTATGCTTACGAAACCCGGAAGAACAAAAATCCACATTGTTCTTCCTAAACCAAAAAAACTCTTAAAAATTTTCCTAGAAATCTCGAAATCCTCTTTCTCTTTTTCCTTATTGTTTTTCTATATTTCTCTTAAGCTTTTTACCTAGAACAACTATTCTAGAGCCAAAATTATTTCTCTTAAAACCCAAAATCCTCTTCTTAAAACTATTCTTTCTTTTGAAACCTAAAAAAAACCAAACCATAAATTCCTCCCTTTTTCTCCTTTCAATCCTCCGTCTACCAATTCCTCTAATTCACCTCAATTTATAGTCAAACTCTAACAAATTTTTACCTAGGATGCTTTACCAATCAATCAAAACCCTCATTCGTTGAAGCTAAAACTAATAGTAGATTTTTTACTATTTGTGAACAAAATAAAAATCAAAGCAAAAAAGAAACGTGTGTACATTGTTTGGTTTTTAGTGTACAAACAAGTGTAGGCGTGAAGCGTGATTCTTGATTGGTTTGAATACCGACCATGAATTTGGCAAGAAACGATTTGTTCTCCGAAGAAGAAGATAAGGAGCGATACGGATGGGGGAAGGATTTATGGGTTAAAGCGAATGACAAGTCATTTGCTCAATTTTTGATTCTATCGTTTCTCCTTAATTTTAATTTAGTCACCATGCATTTCAAAATTTCTCCAATTAGGTCCTTTAGGCATGCAATTTTGGTCCCTAGTTCTTTCAATTTTTTCAATTTTGCCCTTATAGATTTTAATTTCAATCCTAGGGTTTTCAATTATTCTAATTGTATCCTTAATTTTATTTTCATTCAATCATGTCCTAAATATAATCAATTAATTTTTTCGTATTCTCTTATCTTTATCTTATTTTTTTGTATTTTTTATTCCTTTTCTTCTTTTTCTTTTTTTTTCATAGTAAATACTAAAAAAAAGGATAATAATAAAAATAAAATAAAATATAAAAACCTAAAATGGATAAAATTAGATAAAAATATATAATCGAAAACTTAGGTTATGACAATTGTTTCCTCTTTACAATACTCAAAGTGCAAATGCTAATTGAAGTATGAACTTTAGATTGGCTTTACTTAATGAGTTTGTAAATAAAAAGGTAAATTGAGTTAAAAATATAATATGATTATCCTTGATGACCTTCCTCAAAAAGTGATATGCGATGGCCTTATCATGCGAACAACCCGTCCGAAAAAGTAAATTTGCGATGGCCTTTTTATCTAGACGGTCTACCTAAAAAAATAAAATATGATGGTCTTGTT